CTCTCTCTCTCTCTCTCTTTGTGTGTGTGTGTGTGTGTGTGTGTGTGTGTGTGTGTGTGTGTACATGACTGCCATGGAGGCCAAAAGAGGGCATTAGATCCCATGGAGCTAGAGTTACAGGCCACTGTATGCCACCCAATATGAGTACTAGGAAGCAAACTTCGGCCCGCAGGAAAGCAGCGAGCACTTGTAAACACTGAGCCATCTCTCTAGCTTCGCCAGTTCTGCAGCTCTAAAGACAGTTTGGCAGGGCAGTGCTCAGCCACAGTGCCGTCAGTGTCTTCACAGACAGGCCAGCAGTAGCGGTGTTCTAGAGGCCCGTGTGCCTGAGCTGGGTGTGCAGGGATATAGGAGCACAGGGCCATCTCAAGCCCAGACTGTTCACATCCTTTACCCTCTTCCTAGAATACTCAACCCGCCACATTGGCCAGTTATTCCGATCAAACTACATGTTCCTGTTCCAGCTTCCCTGGCTGCCAGAGACGCTCTTGTCTTTGTCGGACTTCCAGGTGCAGTGAGGGCTGAGGTCCAGGAAGAGGGGAATGGCAGATTGGGGCTGGGCAGGCTGGCCACTGAAACCAGCGCTCTACTGTGTACACCCAGATTCTGAAAGCCGTGCTCACCCACCACAAGACGGGCATCCCACGTCTGACCCCTTGTGAACTTGAAGCTTTCCTGTATCACTTCTCGCAACCTGGAGGCCTCACGGGGCCCATCAACTACTATCGAAACCTGTTCAGGTAAGGCTACACCTAGGAGAGAAGCTCAGGAGCGTGCCAGCCCCGCCCCCCCCCCCCCAAATGAAGGTAGCCATTCTTCTAACTGTCTGTCTTGGCTGTAGGAACTTCCCGCTGGAGCCCCAAGAACTGTCCACACCCACGCTGCTGCTGTGGGGGGAGAAAGACCACACCTTACAGCAGGGGCTTGTGGGAGCCATTGGGAGTCGTTTTGTGCCAGGTCGGCTGGAAAGCCACATCCTGCCAGGCAGTGGGCACTGGATTCCACAGACCCATCCTCAGGAGATGCATCAGTACATGTGGGCCTTCTTGCAAGACCTACTGGACTAGTGGCCCCTGCTCGCCAGCCAACAGGTACATAATGTGCAGGAGCACACACCTTCCGTCCTTGTGGACCTGAGAGTCCGTGCAGTGTGTGCACACAGGATGGACTCCCAGCTCCCCCACAGCACATGACCCCGCTGTTGCACACAAAAGCACCTGTGGGTGCCCTGCCCCACACATAGCATGGCTGTTTGACTCCGGTAGCCAAGAATGCTTCTCCCTTGTGGAGTTAGAAGATGACACTGTCTTACCTCTCTTTTCCAAAGCGTCCCTGCCCCGGTGGCTACATAAACCACAAATTCTAACCTTTCTGTCTTGTTCTCTACCTCTAGTCTGCAGCTTAGGTCTTCCCCAATGTTGCAAGCAATATATTTCTTTTTTTTTTTTTTTTTTTTTTGAGACAGGGTTTCTCTGTGTAGCCCTGACTCTCCTGGAACTCACTCTGTAGACAAGGCTAGCCTCAAACTCACAGAGATCTGCCTGCCTCTGCCTACAGAGTACTGGGATTAAAGGCGTGTGCCACCATCACCAGCTGCATTCAATTTATTTCTAACCCACAAGGATAGTTCAATTTACATGTTAATTAGCTGAAATGAAATTTCCCTCCGGAGCTGGGAAGGTGGCTCAGTGGTGAAGAGCATCTGTTGCTCCTGTAGAGGACCTGAGTTCAGTTCTCAGCACTCATGGAGTTTCACAGCCATCTGTAACTCCGTGTCCAGGGGATCTGACACCCTCTTCTGGCATCCCTGAGCAACAGGCCTGCACATAGTGCATATACATACATGCATACATGCATACATACATACATACATGCAATCAAAATACTCCTACACATAAAAAATTCAATAAAAATTTTTTTCAAGACAGGGTTTCTCTGTGAAGCTTTGGCTGTCATGGAACTCACTCTGAAGACCAGGCTGACCTACCTGCCTCTGCCTCCTCAGTGCTGCGATTAAAGGCGTGTGCCACCACCGCCCAGCAAGAAATACATGTGTATTTTTTTTTAAATACAGTACCTTTGTCACAATAGCTGTGTTTTAACTGCTAAATCACATAAGTATAGAAAGTTGTATCAAACTCTTTCAAAGATGATCTTACCAGCTTAAGAAAGATGGTTTGGCGGGCGGTGGTGGCACATGCCTTTAATCACAGCACTGGGGAGGCAGAGGCAGCGGATCTCTGTGAGTGCGAGGCCAGCCTGGTGTACAGAGGGAGATCCAGGACAGTCAAAGCTACACAGAGAAACCCTGTCAAAAATCAAAAAAAAAAAAAAAAACCATGGCTCCGCAGGTGAGGGTACCTGCTACCAAGCCTAACAGCCTGAGTTCAGTTGAATGTGCCCATAACCACAAACATACAAAATAAGTAAATCATCTTTTAAAAAGAAAGGGGGGTTTGCTGGACACAGTGGTGCACCCCTGCAATCTCAACACTTGAAGAGCTGAGGTGGGAATATTGCTGAGTTCAAGAGGTGCTGAAGACTGCCCTCATCCACAGTGGCCTATCACTTGGCATCCACAAAGCTGGCAAAGCCTTAGACAAGCGCCAAGCCCGTCTCTGTGTGCTTGCATCCAGCTGTGATGAGCCTATGGACATCAAGTCGGTGGAGGCACTTTGTGCTGAGCGCCAAATCAACCTAATTAAGCAAGAAATTAGGGGAATGGGTAGGCCTGGAAACTGAGGAGAGGGGAAGCCTGGCGAAGTGGTTGGCTGCGGTTGGGTAGTGGGTAAGGACTATGAAGCCTGGTGAAGTGGTTGGCTGCAGTTGGG